TAATAAGTAGTTAAAGCATGACAATTAATATTATAGACAAATTTAAATTTTAATTCACTAATTTTTATTAATAATAAAAATTATTTTAGATACTAATAATCTTTTTACCTGTTATATCTAATTTAATCAATATAATAATTTATTATTTTTGTGTAATCTTAATTTAATATTTCGTTATTAAAAAGTGGTACTCATTTGAAGAAATTGACTGTCAATCCACTATTTTAATAAAATGAATTAAATAATTATAAATAACTTCCAGATCAAAGAACCAATCTCAACATAAAAACTTGGAAAATATAGTGTGCAAAAATGTCAAACACCACAAGCCAAATAAGTTATCTGCCGCCATTTAGTTTGATTCCTTTACACTAATTTTGTTTTGAAAAATTACCAATAAAATATTGATAAGANGTCAGATTCCTTTAAACTCTATAAATAAGGGTTTAGGTTTGAGGTAAAGACACATTCGACTCATACTATAATAGCCCTATTTACGTCCTATTAGGACTTTAATATTTAACTGTAAAAAAACAGTTCATAAAACGACTCCTAACTTGAGCGTCGGAGTGCCTTTTACAGGTACCTCCCCCTCCGATCCAAAGCGACAACTGAGCGGTCTAAACTGGAAGCGTACAAGCGGAGCACACAAGTTGAAGGTTAGTGTCTCGGTCTCACAAATCTCACCGAAACATTTTGGCGCCCACCGTGGGGCCGAGAGCAAGCTGAAGAAACCCAATGGTGACCACGAGAAACATGGATAAGCAGCAAAGGCAGAGCTATAGTCGCGCTCCAAGTCATCATCATGAACAATCGCTTCGTGGAGTTATCAACTGAAGAGAAGCATCCACAATTCTACTACTGTCATGTTTAAATTCGGTTTCATTTGATTCATGCTTTTGTTATTAACTTACGCTCTTATTATAGAATAAATAAAGTCCAATTTAGGCCAACCAATCGCTCCCAAAGTTGCTAAACAAAATCATATTCAACGAAAAAGTCTCTCAACGAGCTAGAAGATTAAGACCGAGCGGTAAATTCCGCTCGGCCAAGAGGTAAATCCCTCTTGTCAAAGTTGAAGTTTGAAGACCAGCGGTAAATCCCACTCGGCGAAGAGGTAAATTCCTCTGAAGACCGAGCGGTAAAACCCACTCATCCAAGAGGTAAATTCCTCTATAAAGATTAAAGACCAAGAGGTAAATCCCTCTATAAAGATTTGAAGACCGAGCTGTAAAACCCACTCGTCCAAGAGGTAAATCCCTCTATAAAGATTAAAGACCAAGAGGTAAATCCCTCTGTAAAGATTTTGAAGACCGAGCGGTAAAACTCACTCGTCCAAGAGGTAAATCCCTCTATAAAGATTTGAAGACCGAGCGGTAAATCCCCCTCGGCGAAGAGGTAAATTCCTCTATAAAGATTGAAGACTGAACGATCTTATTTGATTGGCCAACCGGTCTTATAACAACCTATTCTAACATTAATGCATTGGTTTGTTTGGCTACTCTCTTTCTCACCATATCAAATTTCGAGTTGTTATATTTCTTCAGTACATGTAACAGGATCTTGCAAATCACAACCGAGAGGTAAATCCCTCTCGTCAAAGTTGAAAACAAAGACCGAGCGGTAAATCCCACTTGGCCGAGAGGTAAAACCCTCGTCAAGGTCGAAGCCAAGGACCGAGCGGTAAATCCCACTCGCCCAAGAGGTAAAACCCTCTCGTTAAAGTTGAAGCCAAAGACCGAGAAGAAAATCCCTCTCAACCGAACGGTTCTCACTCTCATCAATCAGGAAGCTCTGATAACAAGGATTGTGTCAAGCATGCGGTCAGATTCAATACATGGAACTGTTCGGCACAAATAGGATATAACGACTTGAAGGACACGGAGAGCAAAATCTCCTTAATACAACGAGAACAACCTCCCTCAAACTCATAAGTCCTATAGTTAACCGTTCGGCTAAAGCCGAACGATTAACTCAGACTTGGGGGGCTTATGTTACTATGGGCTCACTGACTACCGATCGGTCTCGATCAGCTTCTCATTCGTTCGGTCTCGACAACTATTGAGCAAAGTTAACGCACAATGAATGTGATAACGACTACCGTTAAACAATTAAGGTTTGCATTAATGACCATCAAGAGGTAAATTAATTTGTCAGATTCCTTTAAACTCTATAAATAAGGGTTTAGGTTTGAGGTAAAGACACATTCAACTCATACTATAATAGCCCTATCTACGTCCTATTAGGACTTTAATATTTAACTGTAACAAACAGTTCATAAAACGACTCCTAACTTGAGCGTCAGAGTGCCTTTTGCAGGTACCTCCCCCTTCGATCCAAAGCGACAACTGAGCGGTCTAAACTAAAAGTGTACAACGGAACACACAAGTTGAAGGTTAGTGTCTCGATCTCACAAATCTCACCGAAACACTTACAAAAAATTAAACTCTAATAAAACCAAATAAAAATAATTGTGACAAATATTTTCCTTCATCCGTCACGAACTTTTATTTTTCTGGTAAAAAGCTTAATAACCAATTGCAATCTCAGTAAATTAAAGTAAGATCATGTTTAAGTTTACTTAACTATATTTTTTAATATTGTGAGATTTGATTTTGGTTTCTATAAACGTTTTCTCTAAATTTAAAATTAATGCTTTCACTTTCTAACTGAACTTTGATTTTAATTTTATAAATCATTTTCTTCGATTTACAAAGTTTAATATAATTGATTCTAACATTATCTTAATATATGGTTAGGGATGGATGCATGCACAATGCTTGAGACACTGCAAAACGTAGCTACGTCATGGAGTTTACGTAAGAAAGTGAAAGATTTAAAGATGCTAAAGCAAATTTGTTGACTCTTTGACTGGAACAAAGTATTTTGTTTGGGGGTATAAATAGCAATTAATCAAGCACTAAAGTGGGCCGAAAGTTTGGTAGAAAGTTCCTTCCATAACATAATTATTATGTCCAAGAATCTGATACAACATTAACTATATTCTCAACTACCTTGAGTAATATAAAAAGAAAATAGAAAAAATTATTATAAAAATAAAGTGTTGATTTAAGAATAATTATCTTAATTTAATCATTATTTTTTATATATGAATAATTTAGGTAGTTGTATGTTATTCAAAGATTTACAATTTAAAAACCTTCTCCATTTTGGTTTATATATATATATTATATAATGTGGGATGTTTGTAAGCCGTCTCATAAAGTTATATGATCACTTGATCAGTATACACTGACAATACATAAAATACCATATACTATGTTAATTATTTGTTCAATAAATATAATTAATATCTTCTTGCTTAATTCATTATTAGAGGAATCACTCTAATATATAATGTGAAACTTTAAGAAATAAAGAAATATTAGTGAAATATTAATAAAACCCGTGAATTTATATGATAGTCAAAGTACTTTGTTGAGAAGAAATTATAAATTCATTAAATAGGGGAAATTTTACATCCTTTAATAAAAATGTAATAAAAATTAAATAAAAGTATTTTTAATATATATAATATAAATATTTCTGTTTCTATAGAATCAATTTTTTATATAGTTATATAACTTTTCTTCAAATTAGAATATATATATATATATACTCTATTTATCTAACTTATTACAAATATAACTGATATCTACTCTTTTTAAAAATTTGGTGAATATTAATTAACTTTTCATCATAATTAACAAAATCTACTAGCGATGTCTAAAGACTTTGAATTTACTCTTGTAAAATAACAATCCATGTAATTCGTTTAATATCTACAGGATTTGGCTAAAATTCACAATAGTTATAATTTGTAATTGACTTACACAAATATTTCCATAAAATAGTATTTAACAAAATCTATTCAAGATTTTTAGTTATAAAAATGATTTCAACTTAAAAAATAAAAGTGAGTTTATGTCTAACTTAATCTTAATCTCACAGTATATATTTTGTAATTTGATTATATTTCTAGTCAAGATTTCTAAGTTTAACCTTCGTTACTTATCTTTTCATTCTCCTCTAAGGTAACTGGCATTCCATAATATGACTGTCTCTTACTTTATACAAAGGATACATCACACGAAATTGCTGCTGAGTTACAAAGAATTCCTGCTCTGGTAATTGGCAACTTCATGGAAATCTTGTTGCAACCTTGTTCATGGCATGATGTTTTTGATCCCAAGTTTAATATCGTGTCTCCTGGTGCAGACATGGACATATCCTTAACAATGGGGTTGACAAAGAATTCATTTTACCACTCTTACATTTTAACTTAAATAAACATAAATATTTAAGTTAAATTAGTGTCAATTAGATCAATATTAAGTTTAATAAATATTATAATAACTTAATTAATATAATCAATTTTATTAACTTTGAAGTAAAGTCATTAAAATTTAAATTAGTTTCTAATTTAAAAATACAAACTAATTTAGAATTAATAATAATAATAAGTAGTTAAAGCATGACAATTAATATTATAGACAAATTTAAATTTTAATTCACTAATTTTTATTAATAATAAAAATTATTTTAGATACTAATAATCTTTTTACCTGTTATATCTAATTTAATCAATATAATAATTTATTATTTTTGTGTAATCTTAATTTAATATTTCGTTATTAAAAAGTGGTACTCATTTGAAGAAATTGACTGTCAATCCACTATTTTAATAAAATGAATTAAATAATTATAAATAACTTCCAGATCAAAGAACCAATCTCAACATAAAAACTTGGAAAATATAGTGTGCAAAAATGTCAAACACCACAAGCCAAATAAGTTATCTGCCGCCATTTAGTTTGATTCCTTTACACTAATTTTGTTTTGAAAAATTACCAATAAAATATTGATAAGAGTAATAATTATATTACGACTGTTACAATTTTAATTCTTAATTGTAATTCAGCATTTTATTTTAGAATATTCCAAATATCTTCTTGTATCAGTTAGTAAAGAAGATTAATCCAAAGCTTCTCAAGCTAGTTTTTGCGTAATGCAATTCTCAAGCTATTTCTTCAATTCAAATAGACATGGGTCCCACATCGTAATGATGTCAGAGGTTCTAAAACGGAACTAATTCACCCACAACCTTTTCACCTGCACAGATCGAGATTTCCGACATGGCGCGGAACACAGCAGACCTTGTAGCGCAACTCGATGTTGCTAATCACTTTCCCTACGACTCTCTCCTCCGCTACTGCTCTTCCAACATTTCGGGTTTCCCTCAACCCGCCACTCAGTTCACCGTTTCGCAGGTTTTTGTCTTTTTCGGAACTTTTATCGTGCTTCTGGGTCACATGGGTTTTCGTCAAAATTTGATTTTTATTTTTATTTTGGCCGTGTGATTCTCTGGTGAAATGTTGTTTTAGTTTGGGCATGGACAATCCAACCCTACTTACTTGTTGGAAGCGGGTTCTCATGACTCCGTCGTGAAGCGCTATGTTCTCAGGAAGAAACCTGCCGGGAAATTGCTCGCTTCAGCTCATGCCGTTGAAAGAGAATTTCAGGTTTTTTTATATTACATTGATGAAAATTGAAGTCTGAGTTATTTTGAATTTGAAGAAGTAAACAACCATACCTTGTTATAGAGTCATGTTGAAAAAGTAAACTAGATAGTTTTACTACTATCTATCTTTTAGAATAAAAGCATTCAAATATAGATCACATTACTTCAAAATTATGTTTAATTCAAAATCAATTTTGTAAAAGTTCATCCAAACTCCCACTTAAGTGTTTGAAGTGTGGGCTATGAATAACATATTAGTGAGAAAATGACTAGTTGTGTGTCGCTATTATTCACAGGTTCTCCAGGCATTGGGTGCTCATACCAAAGTTCCGGTTCCTAAGGTTTTCTGTTTGTGCAACGATCCAAGTGTTATTGGAACCGCGTTTTATATCATGGAATATTTGGAGGGACGCATATTTATTGACTCTAAGTTACCGGTATGATTTGCTTTCTAGTTAATTTTGGTTTCCTTGGTGATTGCTGAATTGTCATTGGTTTGATTGGTGACATGTGACTTGTAAATAATCAGGGTGTGCCACCTGAGAGGAGGAGCGCAATTTACAGGGCAACTGCTAAAGCCTTAGCTTCCATACATTCTGCTAATGTGGACTCCATTGGTTTGGGAAAATATGGACAACGCAATAATTATTGCAAAAGACAGGTATATTATTTTATATATGATTATTTATGGTCAATTTACATGAAAATTTGGTTTTTAATGGTGCCGAATGACATTGTACGATCCATTTAGCGACTCAATTGGTGAAATAAGACTTTGTTGTTGTGCGTTGAATTTTTTTCACGTGGAGATATATGTATTGGGATAGAAAGCTGAACATAGATGGATTAGCTGAAAAGTTATTACAGCACAGTAAAATTTATGAAAGTAAATGTTGAGGAGACCTTGAAAACATCGATCACTGCATTTGGTTTTATAAAAAGTTTGAGGATGCACTGATCAATTCCTTGCCCTGTGTCCATTTTTTGGTTCCACTCCATGTTGTATCGCCACCCCTGCTATTGTGCCAGGACCGAAAAGAAGGGTTAGGATCAAAATAGTTGTTTTATTAAAAATATTTTGCTAATGATAGTTTCTTTTGTTGTATTAGATTGAGAGGTGGGCTAAGCAATATGTTGCCTCAACCAGTGAGGGTAAACCTGCAAGTAATCCAAAAATGTTTGCCTTGATTGATTGGCTACGACATCAAATCCCCTCTGAAGATTCTTCTGGAGCAACAGGTGGTCTGGTTCATGGAGATTTTCGCATTGACAATCTTGTGTTCCATCCCACAGAGGTAAGATTTATATAGTATTTTTCTTTGTTCTGGTCTTAATGCATGGATTTTTGTTCTGGTCATGCTCAAATTTAGAGTGTCATAACTAGTTTGCTAAAAGAAACAAAATTTATGTTCTCAATGCCATGTATTCTTTACTCTGGAGTTAGGACACTGTCTTTGAAGACTCAATATTAGTATTTAAGACTGTTAAATTCNATCCAAAAATGTTTGCCTTGATTGATTGGCTACGACATCAAATCCCCTCTGAAGATTCTTCTGGAGCAACAGGTGGTCTGGTTCATGGAGATTTTCGCATTGACAATCTTGTGTTCCATCCCACAGAGGTAAGATTTATATAGTATTTTTCTTTGTTCTGGTCTTAATGCATGGATTTTTGTTCTGGTCATGCTCAAATTTAGAGTGTCATAACTAGTTTGCTAAAAGAAACAAAATTTATGTTCTCAATGCCATGTATTCTTTACTCTGGAGTTAGGACACTGTCTTTGAAGACTCAATATTAGTATTTAAGACTGTTAAATTCATTGGCATCTTAGAACCCACTTCTTGTGCCTTACAAGTTTTCTTTCTGCTGCAGGATCGAGTAATTGGAATACTTGACTGGGAACTGTCTACCCTCGGTAACCAAATGTGTGATGTTGCATATAGCTGTATGGTATGTACCATACACTCACTTTTCTGAATCGAGATTTTGTAAAATAAATGAGTTATATAATCTTGATGATTAGCATCTTCATTTAGTCTGATTGCTTGTTAAACTGATGATAGTAGAATCACTGTTTCAGATTACCTAAGTATTTGATTAATTGAATTACCTATTCAATTCATGTTCCTTTTGCTCTCCTGGAAGACTTATATTGCAGATATTGGGCCTGAAAACGTGCATGAAGGTATGGAGCGTTCTGGACTACCTGAGGGGATTCCTTCACTACCCGAATATTTGGCTGATTACTGTTCCCTAGCAGTAAGTGTTCTGAATATATATGTCTCAATAGATTTTGATATCATTTATTGTGTATGCTGTTATGACGATATACATCAAACAAATTTATGCATTATTTATTACCTTTACCTTAAGACTTCTTTGGAATTGGAAATTCTGCTATTAAGTATGTGTGGAATTTAGATTCAAATCAACAGTTAGGATAGATAATAGCCTCCACAATATATCCATCTAGATATTAGGGTATAGGGTTGCCTAGAAAGTTGACATGAAAGCTATAATTTTTCCTAAAAGAAACCAAAAAGAAGAATTCTTGTGTGTTAAGGAGAAAAGTATCCCCATTTTCTAATATATGTGGAAGACACTTAATGTCGGGAAAACTGTGGTAGATAGGATAAGGATAAGAGCTTCTTGTATCATATCTTTTGGCATTAACATTAGCCATTTAGCCGGGGATGTTTTTGGCATGTCTTGTATCATATCTTTGCCTATTCTTGAAGATCTAACAGAAGATTTTTGGATTCCAGGAAAGAAAATGGCCTGTTGCTGAATGGAAGTTCTATATTGCCTTTTCTTTGTTCAGAGGCGCTTCAATTTATGCAGGAGTTTATAATAGATGGGTTAAGGTATCTAAATTTGTTAGTGATGCTGCTGCTGTTATAGTTTTAAGATCTAATATTTTGTGGCTTCTTTGTGTTGCAATAGGGTAATGCATCAGGAGGTGAGCGTGCTCGATACACTGGAGTACTTGCTAATGGCCTTATAGATGCTGCTTGGGAATTTATTGGACAAAATTCCGTGCTTCCTCAGCATCCTCCTTCAGGTAGCTATAACATGTAAACATTATGGCTTCTCATGTACTGTATCTAAAATGTAATTTGTTGCTCCAGTGGAAGCTAAAAATATTACTAGATTATTAGTATTAAAATACAGCTGAGGCCCTTTCACACCTGACAATCAGATGCAAATGGACGAGAATATTCAAAAGAGTTTGTGAATGGGAATGATGCACAGGGCCGCTCAAATCAGGGGAAGTTTGTTCCTAGTCAAAAGGTTTTGGAACTGAGGAAAAAATTAATTAAGTTCATGGAGGAACACATTTACCCCATGGAAAATGAATTTTATGAACTTGCCCAATCAGACTCACGCTGGACTGTTCACCCAGCAGAGGAAAAGTTAAAGGAGATGGCAAAGAAAGAAGGCTTGTGGAACTTATGGATTCCTGTATGCATCTTTTCCTCTTTCTTTTTTCTGTATTTTGTGATTTCAGAAGCTTTTCTCATCCATCCATCAGGTTTGATATATTACAGCTTCTGATGAGTTATGAGCATTGAAATAAAAATTAAAAGATGTTGTTGGCGATCCCTCACCATATTAAGGCAATTTGGTGGAGTTGAGTTAGGTTCAAACTTACATTCTAAAAGACACGACTAAGTTATTTAGTAGATGTTCTACCCTGTCTACCCACCCTCTCAAAATAAAACTTGATAAAATCTAAGCTTGTTAAAAAAAGATACTTAAAAATAAAATAACAGGAATATAAAGGTTTAGTGGATCATAGATGGAAAAAGAACTTGTGGATGCTTGAAGTGCCGTAGGGTTGAGCATTGCTATAACTCAACAGGACAGCCGAGAAAATATTCAGCCTGAATAGCTAGATGGAGTACTGAATTATTAAACGTTTATCATATATGATTATTTCTTAAATTCATTGTCACTATTTCTTTTCTTGAAAAAGAAGTCCTCTGAATGCATTCGTTTGTATTCAGCTTGATAGTGCAGTGAGAGCAAGAAGCCTTATCTTTGATGGGAGCAATAATCATCTCTCTTCCAATGCAAATGATTTGTTATTGGGGGCTGGTCTCACTAATCTCGAATACGGATACCTTTGTGAGTTCATGGGTCGTTCCATTTGGGCTCCACAAATATTTAATTGTGGTGCACCTGACACAGGTAATATGGAGGTAAGATGGAACTTATCGATTTGCTTGGTTGATCTTTAACTGACTAACACTAATTGGATCTCTCTGGAGTTGATCATATTCAGTATGCACTCTATCGATGTTGCATTTTTGTCTAATTTGGTAGCATTACTTTGCATATTAGGTATTACTGCGTTATGGAAATAAAGAACAACTGCAAGAATGGCTAGTTCCTTTGCTTGAGGGGACAATTAGGTCTGGATTTGCTATGACGGAACCACAGGTTGCATCTTCTGATGCAACCAATATTGAGTGTTCTATTAAAAGGTAGTATTATAGATAATCTTATGTAATTCAGGAGTTCAGTCTTTTCATTTAGCAATGTAAATGCATTGGCTAACTACTTTAAAAAATTTAGGTTTGAGTCAAATTTCTTGGTAGAAGACAATTTAGACATATATGAGAGTATGGGTATCTTATTTAGTTGTTTTCTTAATTTTTCATCTTTTATAGGCAAGGAGATTCATATATTATCAATGGGACAAAATGGTGGACAAGTGGTGCTATGGATCCAAGATGTAGAATTCTTATAGTCATGGTGAGCATTTGATTGAAAGTTATTTCACTAACAGTCATCTACTATTCATGTCAATAATCAAGTGTGATCAAAACATATGGGCAGGGGAAAACTGACTTCAATGCAGCTAAGCATAAACAACAATCGATGATCTTAGTGGATGTCCAGACTCCTGGTGTTCACATAAAGAGACCATTGACGGTGTTTGGCTTTGATGATGCTCCTCATGGGCATGCAGAAATAACTTTTGAAAATGTTTGTGTGCCAGCGAAAAACATCCTACTGGGGGAAGGACGTGGATTTGAGATTGCTCAGGTAAGTCAGAAAATATTTCTTAGGTTGAATATTGGGATCTGATGTTGGTTTGAACTCTGTTATCTACTATTGAATATTGGAATCTAATGTTAGTTTGATCCTTTCCATCCCTTCTTGGCTTAAAGAATAATACCTGCTTAAAGTAAACTCTGTTATGTACTGTTGTTTTCTGGGTTCACTTTTGCTCACCATTTTAATGTTATTTGTTGCCCCAAATTTGCTGAGTGACTGTGAAAATAGTTCAACCCTTTGGTTGATTTTGAAAGCCTTGTGAACTTTGATAGAAATCTGCTACAAAACAAGACTTTGAGATTGCAACGTCTGTCAACTCGTAACAAGATATAAAACTAAGTTAAGGGAGATGCTTCCTTTTAAAACTCAAACTAATAAGTGTCAAGGAAGCTAATTCTTTAAGTAAACTTGACAGTTAGCAAAGTTGTACTTTCAAACATGATTTATCCGTCTCTGTAATTTTTTTAAAGTTTACCAATTGTAGTAAATTTGGAAAAAATTGCACCAGTTTGGTACATAAACCTCACTCTACATACCAGCTGATAAGTTTGGCACATAAATCTCACTCTACAGACCAATTGATAAGTATTCTAAGCGCTTAGCAAACTCAGCTCTGGAGCTAACTGTTTAAGGGAGAGAGTCAAACACTTAAATACCCCCTGGATATACCATATTACTTGATGTGAGACTTAAGCACTCCCATAATACCCTAGTTCCTATCAACAACATCTCAATATATTTAGATAGGGACTTTCATAAGTATGAATTATCATTCAAAAGTGGACACACCAATAATAGTTTTAGGATATTTTTGGAGAATTTCTCCGAAAACATTTAAAGAGGAGAAAATAAAGAGTTTCTCTATAAGCTAAAAGTAGTTTATAAATAAGTTAAAAGTACTTTTTCTGGAGAAGTTAATGTAAGTGAGCATCTACAAATTAGTTTGTATATAAGTTAATTTTTGTTTATGGATTTTTTTTGTCTTTTAAGTGTTTCTGAAGAAGTTTATCCAAATAAACTCTTAATATATTCTACTATACAAGGAATTGCGGGGTTATGTATGGAAGTTATTTGGTCTGTGACTGCATAATTTACATCTGCCTATCTTTTATATGTTTACTGAAGTACCAGATAGTATATTTTCAATGTGCTTGTAACTACTATTCTTACAGGGTAGGCTTGGTCCTGGAAGGCTGCACCATTGTATGAGACTGATAGGTGTTGCTGAGCGCGGCATGCAGTTGATGGTTCAAAGAGCCATCAGTAGAAAAACATTTGGAAAGTACATTGCTCAACATGGTTCATTTCTCTCTGATATGGCCAAGGTATTAGGAATTTGTTGGAAAGGGTAAAAGAAAAAACTAACCAGAAGTGGCAGGAATAGAAATGGCTATGTTTTACATTATTAAGATTTCTGCTTACTTAGCTTCTGATGTTCAGTGTCGAATAGAGGTAGATAGGACCAGATTGTTAGTGTTGGAAGCCGCTGACCAACTTGATAGGCTTGGGAACAAAAATGCTCGGGGGATACTAGCAATGGCAAAGGTAATTGTTTTTAGCACAGCATAATGTTCTACTCTATGGCTCCTATCACTTCACTCTGATGTTGATTCTTTCAACACTCGGTTTGGCATGGGAGCAGGTAGCTGCACCGAACATGGCACTGAAGGTGCTTGACATGGCAATGCAAGTGCATGGAGCAGCTGGTGTTTCATCTGAAACCGTTCTAGCTCATCTCTGGGCAGCTTCAAGGACACTGAGAATCGCTGATGGTCCAGATGAAGTTCACTTGGGGACCATTGCCAAGCTAGAACTGCAGAAAGCCAAGCTTTGAAATCCTGAACACTTTTCTCCCCAGGGCTAAATCAAAGTCATCAAATTACACCAAGAAAATGTTCCTAGGAGAAAAATATCCGTGTTTCAAAATGCTTTTGGAAGCATTATGTTACATAGGAGGTTATTCAAAATCAGGTTTGAAAATTGTTACTTTAAATTCCTTAGTTAAATATCACAACCCAGTGGTTTACTGAAAGAAGAAATTCGTGAGTATGCAGTATGTTATTTAAGTTGATAGTAAAAACCTGGATGGCTTAATAAGCATATAAAAAAGTATATAGAATAAATGTGGAAGTCTTTTCTCCTGTACAAACAAGTAAAAACATCTATTTTGCCACAAGCAGTAGAAGCCAAAATAATATTCAAATTAAGCGTACTTTTAGTGTTTTATATCTATGCAAATTTACTATAATTCATTATTCAAAATATAAATGCTATATCACCTTTCCTATTTTAAGCAGCTTGATAATCTTTTCCTTCGGACTAAGAAACTCAAGTTTCTTAAAGGATCTCACAATTTACTGTATGAATTATATCAATTCATCTGTGCTTCATAATATTCAAAACCATTTGTAATCTATTCATTTATCATATGATACAGATTACTATATCAAATAATGGGATTTGAATGGCAAATGATATTATTCTAAAAGCTATGGTTAATAATAAATGTGACCTCGTTTTAAATTTTTCCAAAACTTTACTACAAATAGAGTTAAAAGTCAAGTTAAGACATTCTTACATTCTTAATGATATTTCAAATAAAATCATGCAATTTTAGCTTAGCTTTAATTAGGAATAATAAGATGGGTTAGTTATAATAAGTTTAATTATCATTCATTTTGTTTCTTGGATTCCTTTCTAATTATTAAAATATAACTTAAAAATTTAAAATTTATTATTTAAAAAATATGAATATATAATAATATTGTAATTTAAATCATTAATACTTATAAATTAGATTATTATTAAGTTATTTAATATGGTTTTTAATTTATTCACCAGAGTTAACTTCTACTAATTTTTTCTACAAAAGTTAAATAAATAAAGGGCTACTTTACGTTCCATAATAATCATATTGACAAATAATACTAAATAAAGAAGAAAAAATAAAAAGGAAAATGCCTTCAATGTTAACAAGGACTTTACTAGCCATACATCCTCCACTAACATACGATGGAATTCTTATACCAACAAAACGTGTATAAAAGGATATCTCATGTTTTCACTCACAACCTTATTATGGATCAATTAATATTAAGAACGGTGAAACATCAATGTTGGGGAATTGAAGTTTGTGGGAGAACAATGTTCTTATAAACTATGACAGAGGCCTTGTTCATTTTCTATGAAATAAGTGTGAAAAAAATTATAATATAATTGCTAAAAAAAGAAAAAAAAAAGTTTTTCTCCCACCCTCACTGGAGAGACAAATTAATAAATATGACAGATAGTGTAAAATTTATAACTTAACCAAAAATCAAGGTTGATATATATATATATATATATATATATATATATATATATATATATAACTTCAAAACAACAACAAACATCAAGCGTACACATCAAAAACTTATATTAGCACCAATGTTCTTGATTCAAGGAGATCCTCTCAGCTATACCTTTTTTAAATTGTTTTCTTAACAACCAGATGCCAAAATTAAACAATGACTAAATATATTTGAAGTGATGTTGTGCACAGAGTATAGGAATTACCTGATATCTTGGACGTAGAGAACATATACATCAGAAGTACCTCTGAGAACTTGCCGAGAATTTAGAGCATGTATAAATGAAATAACATCACACGTTGATGAAAGAATAAGTACCCAAAAGATTGAAAATAATAGTTCTGATCATCGTTTCTGATCTTGTTGAGGGAAAAAGGAATACAGAAGGAAGTTTCATAGGGTGGAATTGCATGTGTATAGAGGGATATGGGTGAAGGTAGGAATCGCAACCCAAACAAAAGATTCGCCATTCTTGGCGTGTCTTCGATCCTCCTTGTGGCTGTGGTGGCTGTGATAGCTGTTACTTTAAACCAAGGAGATGTACCTGAAGAAGAAGCAGCTCGTATCGCTAGTTCTCAAAAGACAAGTGTAGACATACTTTGCCATTCAACAGAATACGCGAAAACCTGCAAGAAAAGCCTTAAAAATGTAGCTGCTAACGGAACCGCAGACACAAAGACTCTGGTGAAAGCTGCGATCAATGCCACAGCGGTGGAACTTTTGAGCCACATAAGGAACTCATCCCTTTATAAAGACTTGGGGAAGGACAACATGACAAGACAAGCCATGGATATTTGTAGGGAAGTGTTTCAGTATGCTGTTAATGGCATTCAGAAATCTGCTGATACAATAGACAAGTTTGAATATGGGAAGTTGAGTGAATATATTTATGACCTAAGGGTTTGGGTCGCGGGGAGTCTCACTCACCAGCACACGTGCTTGGAAGGCTTTGTGAACACGAGCACGAAGGCTGGTGAGACAATGACTAAGGTTTTGAATACCTCTATGGAGCTTAGCAGCAATGCGTTGGATATGTTGAATGTGATCTCTGGACTGATGAAGGACCTTAACTTGACCTCATTTGGCAATAGGAGGCTTCTCTCTGAGGACACACCAACCTTGAATGATTATCCTCCGTGGGTGACTCAAGAAAAACGGCGTCTTCTTGAGATGGGAACTGAAAATCCTGATGCAGTTGTGTCCCAAGATGGCTCTGGCCAATTTAAATCTATCAATGAAGCTCTTCAGTCCGTTCCTGCTAACAATGAAAAACCTTTTGTGATTTACGTCAAAGAAGGTGTGTACAGGGAAAACGTTGAAATGTCTGTACTAATGACTCATGTCACTATCGTCGGAGATGGTCCAACAAAGACCAGATTCAGTGGTAGTTTAAACTACGATGATGGCGTCCAAACCTACAAAACTGCAACTTTTGGTTAGTATCTCAGAACTGCTTCATTTAAATTCTACCCTATTGAATACATCGATCCATACCTAACTAACTTGCCATTATCATCAAACGACAGCGGTTAATGCTCCAAACTTCATGGCGAAGGATGTCGGATTTGAGAACACGGCAGGGTCTGAGAAACATCAAGCAGTGGCACTGCGAGTGACAGCAGACCAAGCTGTGTTTCTGAATTGCCACATGGACGGGTTCCAAGACACCCTATATGCTCAGTCACAACGCCAATTCTACCGTGATTGCTCCGTGACTGGGACGGTTGATTTTGTGTTTGGAGATGCCGTTGGAGTGTTCCAAAACTGCACGCTGATTGTGAAAAAACCGTTGGGCAAACAACGGTGCATGGTGACAGCTGGTGGGAGAGTGAAATCCGACAGCCCCACTGCCCTAGTTTTCCAAGGTTGTCTGTTCACTGGAGAGCCGGAAGTGTTTAGCATGCCACAAAAGGTAACATACCTAGGAAGGCCATGGAGGGCATACTCTAAGGTAATCATCATGGACTCCCAACTTGACGACATCTTCATACCAGAAGGGTACATGGGGTGGATGGGAACTGAATTCATGGACACTTGTACATATTTAGAGTACAATAACAGAGGCACTAATGCTGACACTTCACTCAGAGTCAAATGGCCTGGTGTTAGGAGTCTAACAGCAGAAGAAGCAGCTGATTATTATCCTTCCAGGTTCTTTGAACTTTATTCTCCAAATGATGGTGATTGGATTGTTAGATCTAGGGCACCCTACAGTCTTGGCCCTTCTCCCCAGTAGCTAGTTACTAAGAAAGAAAAAAAAAAGGTTATCTGATATTCTAGTGTCACTCATCTACATCAGAGGGGTTACAGTCATACATAGTCTAGTTCTGAAAGATATATACATTCTTATTTTACTACTGTGTATATTATCAATGTTCTCTTGTAAAAATGATAGGTGAATGTGTCAAAATGGGATATATTGGGATCTACTACTCTTTCTTGTAAACTTCACTGACATTCGTAATTGCTTATTATACAATTGCAGCAACACTCAATTTTAGAGATGAATAGGAAATTTGATTTGGAAGTGTGTGTGGTGGTAGCTGCCATGGTATACTTTGAAACCATGTGCTTGGATAAACAATAATGTGTACATAGAATCATATTTGTTTTCATACTTATATTGTTTTATGTACTATCAAATACTTACAAAATGACTTTTAAAGTATATACTTTGGAACTTTTTTAATGTCAAAAATGAATTCTAAATTGCATAATCAGAAAATTGTTTTTTGGAATATCTTTTGCAATTTGTATTCTGTGGAATGTATTTTTTTGATTGCAATTCGAAAGGTATTTTTAGATTGGAAAATATATTTTAGATTATGTAATTTAAAAACTATTTTTTAATCTGAAAATCATTATGTATTTTGAAATAGAAATACTTTCGAAGTTGTAAAATCCAAAATTTATTAAAATATGAAAAGGTGCAGATGTAAATTTTAGCCTTTTATTATAATTTTAATCAAGGATAATTTAGCGTTTATCAATTTTATGGGATGCATTAAGAAGAAAGGGTGGTGCATGAAGAAATAGCCCTCAATTTCGATTCAGATTTAGGAAAGCAAGTAAACCCGGCCCAATTTACCTTTGATTTCTGTCCAGGAGCGGGAAAAATAAATCAAAAGATTTTTGAAAAAAAAAACGTTCCCTCCCTCTCTCTTTCTCTCCTACGCTATCGATTCTCTCTCTTCCTCTCTCTCTCTGTCTCTCTCTCTCTCTCTCTGCATAACTCACCGGGTTCGAACTTGTCAATACCGTAACGTTGTTTTGGGACATTTCAAAACCCTATTTTCAGTTTTCGGAATTTCCCATCTCCTCGCCGGAAAACTTAAACCCTAGATTCTTCTTCCTTTAGGTTCTTGGCATCGAAAATTTCGATATTACCATGATTTTCGAGAGGATTTCGTCCGCTGAAAATGACTAAGAGTACCTTGGAACCCGGGGGGAGCGGAGGCGGTGGCTTCCACGCGGTTCACGCGGAGCGTGACCTAGAATCTAATTGGGAAGTTGACCTCGCCAAAAAACTCGAGGAGTATTTACTGAAAATTTGTTCAGGGGAGATCACCGGCGAGGAAGAAGGACATATTCCTGTGAACTTTGCCGAAGGTTTGGTTCATCATACCCGTTGGTCTTTTGAAAGTTCTCATTTAATGTTTAAGATTTGTGTTCGACTGAGTTAGTTGTTTCTGGGTAATTGTAGCTGCTTTACTGCTTCAGGGTTCCATACAGGTCTATAGTCGAAAGGTGGAGTACCTCTACACCTTGGTTTTGCGTGCTTTGGAGTTCCTTTCCCAGAAAAGGTTTGATTCTTTAGTTCAAGTTTCAGCCTTTATCTGTCTTCTGTTGTGTAATTTGATTTTTGTATCTATGTACCCATTTTTCATTTTATTATGTTACATGGTAATATTCCCTTTTTGTCTTTAATAAACGAAGAGTAGGTTTTAAATTTGCGCTTACAGCTTTGTCGTGGTCCTTGAAATAATGGGAAAATTCGAAAAGAGTATATGCAGTTGTGATGATGGTCACCCTCTGAATCTTTGACATTGTGGCCAAAGTTACGATTGCGTTTTTATTCCCTATCTTTACAACACTTCAGGCGGTTACTTCTTGGTGGCTTTCCTTTTCTATCTGGTTTCTGTTTTTGGTTTAATTGGTAAATAAGTTTCGCGCGCGATGTGCCATAGGTGCACAACATTTGATGTTTTAGGTTGGTCGAATTTGAAATTGTGGTTAGGCACACTTTTTCTAAATGAAGTGTCGTAAAGATAGGGATACGATGTTGGCTACAACTATGGGATACTCTGTTTTTTTTTTCAGAAATATAGGACACGAATATACTAATTTAAGACTTTAAAATATATGATTTGGGATGTTGGTTACAACTATGGATAAATGAATATAGAATTTTCTATATTCATGGCTTAATGTATAAATGAGGAAAAACTATGGATAAATGAATAAGACTTTTTCTATATTCATGGCTTAATGTATAAATGAGGAAATACATGATATCTCCCTTTAACAGTTTTATTCGCTTCATTTCCATGCTCACCATTAGTGTAAATAATAATAATTTTAATATCATCATTCTTTGTCTATAATTTGTGTACCTCTGAATTTGATTCATCAATGGTGAGGTACCCAAATTTTGTGCATCTGGTATGTGCCCACTAGCCAGGAGTACTCAGATAATGGGTACTGGTATTTGTAGTATATGTGCATTAGGTAAAGCATGCAAAAGTCCAAGTGGATAAGGTGTTGAGTGATATTATAGGTGTATTGGATTGTTATTTTTAGTTCACTGAGTCTGATGCAATTTATTGAGATATTTCTAAAGAATTGGAAGGTTGGAAACAATTGAAAGAAATAGAACTCAACGTTTGGCTGATGTACTCAGTTCCGGACTTGGACAGTTTATTATGCACAATTAAAATTGTGAAGCATAATGTTAAATTAAAATGGGAGAAGTCTCTGCACTCAATATTTGATGGCCTGGGATCAATATTTGATGGCCTGGGATCAATATTTGATGTATGAAGATTGTTAGGTACTGTTCTATAGTTTATTATAAAAGGACAATCAATGTCTATGGCACATTGGGTGGAGATGAATGAGATGAGCAATGTATAAGGAGAAAGACCCACTAACATAATGTCTTAAGATTTTGGTGTGTAGCTGGCATCAAATCTCTTATATTAATTGGAGATCCAAATCTCCACCATTATGTATTGACTGTGTTTGGTGTGTCCATTTAAAGAACCCATTGTTTTCTTGTTATTTAAACTTGGATATTGAGAAGTAGATCCACCTTTGTCAGAACTGTCACTGTCAACAGTAGTGTGTGGGCTCTAATCATGTGTTTGGTTCAATGGTGGGAAGGGATGGGAAGGAAGGGATTCAGCCTTCTCATTCTCCCCACTCCTCCCATCCATTTTCCTCCAACTAAAGTGTGTAATTTTATTTTTTGTTTCTGTTATACCTCACTATGAAATCAATTAGGCTAAAGAATATGAAATCAATTGTGGACCTTCACATTACAGTTTAAGCTTTTGGGAAAACTCATCCTTGAAACTGTATTGTCCTTTATGACCATGTGGTCAGTAATATGATCCTATCTATTTTGGTTCTTGTAAACACAAAAATTGAAACCCATTATGTGTTGTCTTCACCTAATGATTAAACCTTTTTGGAGCGCTGCTAATTGACAAAGCCAACAGCGTATTGTAGGTGACGTGAACTGCAAAGTAATAGTGTGTTTTGATTGACTTTTATTTGTGCTTTTGAAAATTAAACAGCAATGTTTGATCTCACTAAGTGTTTTTGGGCAGACAGCAAGATCATGAAGATGGGGAATCGGTCCAACCTGAAGAAATGGGTTCCCGTGCTGTTGCTGATGAGGAAAATGATCAATTCTGGGGCTTAGATGACATCCAAGGTACCCTATTTAATGAGATGACTGAATGATCACATAAGAACCTGGCAGAAAGGATTTATTCTTATGATTATTAATATTAGGTAGCAATATTTAGTCTACCGGCAAAATAGTTTTGTTGCATACCAAGGTTGAAAATGTACATTTATAAATCTATAAATCTATATATGGTAAGATTCTTTTAGCTTAATGGATTCTGGGACAGAATATCATCAATTAAGTTCGGTCATCATGTTATTGGTGGAACCTGGTTCTCTCTGCTTTGGACCTCTGTCAAAATCAGACATTTATTCATTTTATTCGCAATATCTTAATTCTTGGACTTCTTCCTTCCCTCAAATTATCTTCTGTGAGTCCTATCAGTATTTCATGAAGTGTGTCAAAATAATAACTGTTGTTTCATTTCAGTATAAATATTTGCAAATGGTTATATCATCTGTGTTATGATGCAGTTGAAGAAAATAATTCCTTGGATGGCACAACTGGCAAAGAAGTAAATTTGGATCACTTTATAAAACCTCCTGCAAATCTAGTTGTTCTTGAAGGTGACTGCTTGGATGCTGGTGGTGATGGAGGAGAATTGGAGTCTTTTCTGGTATCTTAATTGCTTGCAGCTGTTTGCACACTAATGTTTTTTTTTATAGTTTTATTCACTAATAATACGATGATTTGTTGCAGTTGTCCACCACAGACCTGTACCAGGACTTCATCTTATTGGACACATCTGATGCTGTTGCAGTTCATGAGTTTTTGGAGGGTACCAAAGCTGCCAAAACTCGAAATGATGCTAGTAGAAGAACCCCAGGTCGTAAAAGCTTTCTTTCTCCTGGACGTTCTGGTGGAAGTGCTCGTAGATTATCTGCTGCTAAGAGTCAGTGTGCGAATTCCAACTGCTCCCCTAAACTTAATAGTGGTTTTGATGATGAAAATGTCCGGCCCAGTTTTCCTGCTTCTGATGGTCTTGATGACTGCAATTATGGATTTGATATGGGTCAGGGATGTGAGGCATCTAGGGATTCAGACAATTCAGATGACGATAATGATGATCCATGGAAACCTCTAAATCCTCATGAACAGGGCAACTTGAGGGTGAAGCCATTCAGAAAAGGTCCCCCCAACTCCTCAAAATCTTTCAACAACTTGCCTTACCTTAGCTGTGTAACTTATCTGCATTTATCTTTTTGCTGTTCCTGCAGTTAAAATTTTAAAAAAGAGTAACATTAATGTGAGACAACCAGTTCCTATGAGCTCCTTGTTTCCAGTTGCAAAATTGCATGGCCCTATCAGTCCAGAGCTCGTGGAACTGTGGGAGAGGCAACATAATGCCCATGAAAAACAAAGGGATTTTCAAGCTCCATTCTATGAGAAGGTACTTTTTCATGGTTTCTCTATTTACCAGTATATTAATTTTTACGATATAAAATGTGATTTGAAATTTGCAGCTGAGGCAATCTCTTGTTAACGAGGGGAATGAAACTGGTGTAACATTTAACACTGAAGGGGACAGTGATGACATTGAACATGACAGTGGAATTCCTGATTTTGATATGCCAGACAATGCTTTCATGGAAGAAAATCTACCACCTTTCAATAACGAGGTTAGGAAAGGAGATTAGTAATATGACTATCTATATATTCTAATGACATTTGAAACTAATTTTGTATCTCTACTTCAATTAACAGCCTGAGTTTGATGATGCTGATGTCAATGTTGATGAAGCCGTAGATCTTTCTCAGGCAAGTTTGGAAGATCTTTGCCGCTCTCATCTGGTAAGAGTGTCATTATGACTTGTTCGGATATAAAAGTAATTATTTATCAATTCTAGAATTATGTTAAAAAGGGCGTCTCAGTCCCCCTTCGCCTGCCCTGGTCATAATTTATTTTACTAAAACCGTAGAGAAATTTAAGTCCTATAAGCATATGCTTTATGGTTTGGAGGAAAGATACCATTCACTCCAATGTAGTCAAATATCAATTAAACAGTATCTATACTCAAGTCGTTTGTTTTTACCGAGAAGTTTTAAGGAACGAGTTGTAGATTTGTAGCCCTGTATGATAAATTCTTCAGTTTCTGTTTTCACTGCTCTAGTACCGACAATCATTTTTCCTCATCTAGAATGCTCTCCTAGCAAGCATTGCTGAAACTGAGAAGCAGACTGAAATGGCTGCTAGGGTTTCAACGTGGAAACAAAGAATTGAACATAATTTGGAAGAACAGGTGAATTCATCTTTTGGGTGGCCTTCCTCTATTTATTTCTTTAAATTGAATGAACTGTTTTGGCATGATAGGAATCACATCCACCATTTGATATCCAAGATTATGGTGAGAGAATTCTTGACAAGTTCTCTCTGCTCTCCCTTGAAGCAAGCAGTAGCCGTGTCCTGTCCTTTTCTGATTTGGTCAAGGGTCAGGAAAAGTATGACGTGGCCCGAAATTTTTCTTCCCTTCTTCAACTGGTAATTCCTTTGTTGGCAATATCCAGTACAGTTCTTGAACTTTTACTTCATGTTATGATGATGTTTGACGTTGAAGAGTCCAATTTATCAGATTATGACTGGATTACTTTTCCAATCCATCATGCAAGTTCTACCATTTTCAGGTAAACAATGGAGAAGTAGCTCTAGAAAGAAATGGAATTGATGGGAAGTCTGTCTGCTACTCATCTGTTAATCCCTTTCATGTTAAGCTCCTTAAGCATGGTAAGGAACGGGAGGATGCACAGTTTGCTTTGCCAAAAAAGAGAGCAAAGTCTCCAAAAAAACCCTCTACAAAAGGACATAAGAACAAATTTGAAAGAGAAAAATCTCCCACATCTTCTAGGAGAAATGGATCTACTGGTGTGTCACCACCAGCAAATTGTAAACTTTCTGTAAAGCTTGGAAAGGTGAGTGCGATAAAGGTATCCCCTGAAGCCAAAAGAAGGCGTAGATCACAGTATGTTGAACCAGTTAATTTACATTCAGCAGGGTGACAGTGGCAAGATCTGCGTATTCCACCCTTCTCCCTAAATGATTCAAGACATCTGCTAGATGTCTTGGGCTTAGTGAAGTTAAGTAGTCATTCTGTAACTCTTATTTATCACTTAATACTAACATCCATCAGTTTGAGCCTGTATTATTATTGTTGATGACATTAACACATCCATGTAATGATATTCACATGTAACACCGTAAATTCTTATTATTGTAATAACGTTTTGCCCTTGCCCAATAGTTAGAACTATTCAAATATCTAACATGTTATATATAAACCACTGCTGGATTAAATTTAGATCTAATCTTCAACCACAACAAATAATACTATGGGAGTACTTTAGAATTTCTCAAGCGGGAATCTGAAATATATAAAATGTTACGGTTTATTTAATTAACCATAACATTGTATATGACATTGTTTACATACGCATTTGTTGCAAACTGGAAATAAGTTTCAACTGCTGTGCAGTAAATTCTCTATAGATGAAAGTAATGGAACTTGGCAGTTGTTATTGTAGCTTTTGAAGCAAAGCACAATCAATTAAACCAGAGATTCTCAGTAACAGTATAAAGAGCTGTGGGCAGAACCAATCAGCGCTCCTGGATCAGCGTTTGGGTACTTCTTGGTTTGGTGTGTGCTTTCCTTGGTGCTTTGATGTATCCTTTGAGTAATATAAAAATTTAGATATATCAAAATCAGTGTACTGAATGTACAGTAAATGGATAACACCAAAATTCACTGGAGAATTTAAATTCCTAATATAGTGATATTTTAAACAAATCTGTTTTTGTATGAGTTTTTAGTAAACACCCATTATGGTCTACCTTTAATTTAATTTTCCTTATGATTGCGGAAAGAATAATATTATCTTGTTACCAGACTATTATTGACAAATATATTCTTTGGTTTATTTATTTATTTATTTCAGTCATTAATGAGTAACTATTAAAGAGATTAACTTTTAGTTGCACTTTGTTTTATATATATGTAATGTTCAAGATGTGGAGGTCTTTGTTATTACTATCATATTATTTACTAATATTTAATTAATTTCATGTATATATTTTGATATAAAGTTGAAGATCTTATGTCAAGTCAAGATAAATTATATTTACAATAAATACAAATTTTATATTATAAATTAATTTTATAAATTTAAATTAGACTTAAAATATAATTTTTAAAATTTTTAAACAAAGTTATTTGTGATTTTTTTTAAAGTGAAAAATTCACTATTTCTATAATTAATCTAGAACATAATATGTTTTTTATAAAAAAATGTTAAATATATTTTTAGTCCTTAAATTCTAATATAAAATTAAAATTTGTTTATGTTTATAAAAATAGTTTAGTCTCTAAATTTTAAAAATGAATGTATATAATCTTTTTAATCTAATTATGTATTTAATAAATTAACAAAATTTTAATGTATTTAGATTAAAATCACTATATGCATAAAATTTAAAAGCAAAATGTCAATTAGTAACAAATTTTAATTTCACGTTGGCTAAAAATCATATTTAACAAAAAAAAATCATAAAAAATAATGGTTTCGGAAGCTCGAATAAAAAGATAGATAGTTGTTCAAAAACAAAAACTATATGTATTTAAGTGAAACGATTACGTAGGAATTTGTGTTTAATAAATCTTTAATTTATTGGTAGTTGAAACCATTAAAAGGTCTTTAAAGAGATTTAATAGTAATTATTTACGAACAAATCTATTTGAAAGATTATGACTTTTACTTTCAACGTCATTTATATTCAACCTCATACTTAAATTTTTAATACATGAAAAACCTCATTAAAACAATCTGTTAGGAAATATGGTATTAAAAAGCAATATAGAAAATGATAATAAAGTTAATTTTGATTTTATTAATTCATCTTATTAATTAACAAGTTGCTACTACTTTGAAAAAGGTGTTCTATACTACACACCTAAGTGTGTTTAAGTTTAGGTTGTTGCGAGTTTTTTAATTTTAAATTTTCAAAGAGTTCTTTATATTTAATGTCATTCTATTAAAGAAAGTGACTATTCATACCATACAAATTTTACACGTACCAATATAATGATTTGGAGGACATTATAATTTTCTTCATCGATTTGAATTTAGGGACAATAATTTGCATACATATAGCAAAATATTACTTTCTAACTTTTTTTTCATAGTACATATTTTTGTTATCTGTCTACTATATAATTTTATATAAATTTGATGAAGTCTCTCTTGATTTTTTATTTTTTATTTTTTAATTATTTGAATAAAATTATTTGAAAAACAGAAAAAAGAGAATTATATTACAAAAGTAATTATCATTACATCCTTAAAGTTGCTCCAAATAATATTATAATACCAAATTGTGCTTCATGTCGATCAGTCCAACATCAACTCAATTAAAACATTAAAGTTTTACTAAAATTAAAATAAAATAAAATATAATAAATTTCATATAACACATTAAAAGAAAATATATCTTTAAAATTGTTCTGCTTTGCCGACTATATACAAACATTGAATTATCAAATAATTTTGGTATTCTATTGTCATTGTTTAAGGAACTCCAAAGTAAGCAACAAATAGAAAAAAATATAAACCTATTTATGTTCAACGCCAAACATTCCAGTCACAGCTACCTACCCTCACGCGCCGCTTAACGCACCGCCTTCACTAAAATCCACACGCGACGACAAAAACCAACCACCACGCGCTACACATGGTTTTGTTTGTAGAGCCACGTCGGCATTCGAGTCAAGACTCACTGGGTCTCCTCTCGCTCACCTCGCTCGGCCTCGCACTGGGCGGCGGAGCTACAATCACCGCCGCTAGACGACGGGGACGTGTTTCCCCTCCGTTCTCTGCTAAGAATCCTCGTAAACGATAACATGCGACTCATCGGCGACCGAAACGACGACGTATTCTCGTCTCGAAAATTCTCGTCCCGCGGAGGCACCTCAACGGTCACACCAACCAACGACGATTTCCTAGAGCCAACCGAAGAGGAAGGACAAGAGGTAGAACCGGTTAGGTTCTCTCCCGAACCGGATTCCGGTTCGCTAACAGTTATAACAGTCTCCGGTTCGGCCGCGCGCTCGACCGGCGCGCGACAAAGCGGACACGTTGCGTGCGAGTGAAACCACATATCGATGCAGTCTGTGTGGAAGCTGTGGTTACACTTCGGTAAGACCCGACCCGGTTCTCCCAGTTCGAACTCAGACAAACAAACCGCGCATTCGGGCGCGTTTTCCGGGTGTGCCTTGGGGTCGTACGTGAACACAGGTAGAGAGGCGAGGACGGCAGCGTCGAGGCCGCGGGAGACCGCGGCGGGGGTGCCGGCGTCGTTGTAGAAGACGAGTTGTGTTCGGCGGAGCTCGCGGTGGCGGTGGAGCTGACGGCGGCGCGCGCGTCTGAGGTACCAGCGGGCGTAGATGTGGAGACAGAGCATTAAAATGACGATGAAGAAGAGTAGAACGATGGCAGAAAGCATGATTTTTCCGCTGATGCTGTAACTCTTTTCATCAAAACTCTTGTCATCGAAATCTTTTGGGATTGGGCTTCTCTCTTTGAATTTTGGTATGGCTTCATTTCCTCCCTCTTGAGCCATTTCTGAGAGTGAATGAGAGTGAGTGAGCAAAATTCAAGAATAATAAAAAAGGGATTTTTGATTGGGTTGGGTTTATACAATGGAAAAAAGAAAGAGACAGGAAGGTTCTGAAGTGTTTGAAGGATTAGGTAATCCTTTTATATGCAACCTTTGTTGTCTCAAAATTCTTCAGTTGCCACAGTTGACGCGCTTTCTCCTTTTCAATTTTATGTTTTTTTTTATCAAAATTTATATTTCGGAAATTGGCTTGCACCTTCGTTGGTGAGTGGAACCCACACGTGTTTTCATTCTTTTTTTTATTTTTTATTTTTATTTTTTTTNTGGTATGGTATTCTTTCAATAAAACTGGTAGTGGTATTGATGGTTATACTAATTGTTTTCTGTATATTTTTAAGAATTCATGGTTGTCCATGTTGTTCTTGACATGATAATGTCAAAAGAAGGTTTGCAGGCTTAACAATCTGCTGATGGATCATATCAGGTGGTCAGGCTCACTTTTCTGTGACGTTCTCCATGGAAGTAAATGATGGATGGTTGGTGACAAACCTACCAGTTCATTTGATCAATACAACTGAATTGAAGCACGGAATTAATTATCAGTGGCAGCCTCTTCAGACATATGTTACTATCTCAGAGCACTTTATGGTCAAAGCTCATGGAATCAGATTTCAGGCCACAGTCAATGACTGCAACAGTGTTATGCAGCAACTGTTCTATCATGTGAGTGAATGATTCTATTCAGTTTTTACCATGAACTTTGAGGACCAAACACGGTCTTCAATAGGCTCCCGTCATCAGTTAAATGTAAGAAAAAACAGACAAAATCATTGCCATGTGTTCCTTCACCACAGGTTCATGACACGTGTAGTAGAATATATGAAAATTTCCACTGCATAATTGTCTTGATTTTATACAGGGAGGTGAGCATGGAGCTGTTTTAACAATGACATTAAATGACATGGGAAACTACGGATGTTATCCAGATTGTGCAGATGGCATGTCAATGCCATTATACACAGAAGCTACTGTAAATTTAATGAGAAAACAACCAATGAGTTCATTTCTGGCTCACAGTAAGTTCTGTATTTCATAAATGATTTCAAAATTAGAGTCCTTCATCTTATCATAATGATTTCCATAATCTGTTTATCAAAAACAGAAACATAGATGTATTTCATTTCTGACTTACAATCTTGTTCTATCTTCTGTAACAGCCTTAGGATCAATCATTGTCATTGAATTTGTTATCATTTTCTCTCTTGGAGCCTTGCTTCTTTACTTCACCTGTAAATGTGCTATTCTTCTTGCACATGAAAGAAGAAACAGAGAAGAAAGTTCTTCAGAGTTATCTAATTCCAAGAGTTTCCCCAGAGAAACTGTAAGTGTGCATATATAGCCAGAAGAATTACTAAGTGTGTTGCGGAACTATTATAATTATTGAGATCAAGATGATAATTATTTTGAAAACTACACTAACATGCAAAATACAGAATTTCTTTCATGATTTGGAAGGTAGACATGGAAAAGTTAAAGGAGAAAATGGTTAATGATTTCTTTGCAGAAATAGTGTTTCGTGTTCAGTTAAGTTTACTCTCTTCAGTGATTCAGTAATATTAATAACCAATGTTGGAACTTTCAGGTGCCAAGTTGAAGAATCTATCAGCTAACCAATGTTATTCATGATCTGCTATGTATTTTATCTGTATTTTTATTATGCTAAAACAACACAGTTTCGGAAAGTATGTATAATGTTGTAAAAACAGTTTGAAAAAGAGTATGTGATCGTTATTTTCATGTTGAAAATTTATGTAGTTAATTTAAGTAGAGAAGTGATGAAGTAAATAATATGGTTTTTAAATATTAAGTATATTTAGATTTTATTTAGTAATATTATAGAGTAAAAAATAATAATAAATAGAAAATGTAAAATTTCTTAAAAACAAGTTGTAACGCATAAATAATATATATTATATTATTAAACCTAAAATAAAATCCTTGTCATTTTAGTCCAAGATTATTTTGTTTGTTTTGAGATTTATCATTTTATTTTTAAAAGACCTTCAATTGATTTTGAAAACAAAAAATTATGTTTTATTTTAACTCGGTTGAAAAATTTTAGATCCTAACATTAACTGTCTTTCATAAAGGTAACTGATATATACTTAAAAACTGAGAACGAATTTAGTATACATCTAGATTTAACTGAGAGAAAAAATCCCTAAAAGATAGACGTAGATAAGTACATTGTTGAAATTAAAATATTAATTTGAATCCTACAAGTACACAGACAACTAAAATATTAGGTTAGATCTCGTGAGAACAGGATTGCATCTATAAATAGTAAAAAAATTATCAATCCTCCAAAAGTTAATTATAAAAAATGCAATATGAAAAAATTGAATAAACAATACAAACATCTTGTTCTTAAAATTCTCCACCATTTTTTATTTTATTACACAAAATTCATTAACCCAAATTCCCACTAGGTCATGGCAATGCACATGCCATGATAGTTTAGTAATTTGGATTTTTCCTCATACCCTTTCATCTTCCATGTTGACGCCAGTGTTTTTCCATGTCCCATGACAATGAAATAATAGGACCTTTCAAAAATAAAAAATCTACTTTTTCCCTCCAGCTTTAGCAGCCTCTACGAAACGTTGCCGTTTGGACCCCACAACCTCAATTCCCAACAGCAGGACCTCCTAGGGTTGGGTCCAACTTAACGGACAGAAATCTTGGCGCTACGTTGGTAAATGTCACTAACGTGCAAGTAACAAGTACTTTCTAACTACTCTGAATCTCATCGTCCTCAATCCAAGAAAAACTGTTAATTAAGAAATTCACAAGAACTACCTTGGAATGGTCAAAACCAGTTGCATATATTAAAAGGGAGCAACAAACAAACATCAAAACGATGATCCATCCCAAATCAAACAAACAAACACCTTTGCTTAGGTTAAAAATTATAATAACAAAGAAAAAACAAGAAACACTGAAAGTTTTCTAGGTGACCAAGTATATGGGCATGGCTGAGGTAGACATCCTCCGCTGAAGTTGATGTTGTTGTTCCATGTTGAGTTCTCTTAGACTTATGTAAGGCGTGTCCACGTCATCCTTGGCCGGCGGCGTGAGGGTGCCGGCGAGCGGCCCGGAGGAAGGGCGGCTGGAAGTGCGGAGGGGCGTGGCGGAGCCGCTTCGGCTCTCGGTCCAGTACACGGGGCCCGAGATGGAAGCCCGGAAAGCCCGGGCTCGTGCCTGGTGGACGTCGTTTTGGTCAATGCCGTTGTCGCGGGGATGGGTCCAGCGCCACTTGAAAAAGAGGAGGGCGCTTCTCCACCAGCGCTTCTTCCTGGGCCTGTGGGCTTTGCTACGGGATTCGTCCTTGGAAATGGGCTTTTGGAGCTTGAAGTGGATGGAATCTATGGATCTCGCCGTCTCACGCTTGTGCTTCATGGCTTCTTCCAACACCTGTTTTGTAGAAAGCCAAAGTTTGTGAATGGAAAGAAAAAAAAAACATTTTTCCAAATGGGTGGGAAAGAAAAAGAAAGAGAAAGAGAAACCTGAAAATAGTTTATTTGAGGGTCAAAGCCATAGTCACTGAAATGTTGAGGGTCTGGCATTGGAAAAACTGGAGATTTGTTGGTCATTATGAGAAAATGGGTATCTGAAAAGTATGAACTTTGTTGGTGATATAAAGAAAAAGAGAAGAAGAAGAAGAAAGAGAGAGAAGAAGAAAAGTGAAAGTATGTTTGGTATGGTTTGTGAGTGGCTCAAGAGGAGTTGGTAAACACTAGTAAATGCAGTTTGGCTTCAAAGTTCACACCTTTTGGTATCTTCTATTTAATAACATCATTTATTACCTAAGTTACGGAAAGTGCAGGCAAAAGACAACTACTAATTGCTACATTTTCCAACCCAAATTATACTCAAATGGGACAAATAAATAGCCATGCACAAATTCTCAAACTATTTCTTTTGGGGATAACTATGAATACAAAATCAATTTTCAATAAACAACCTTATGTTAAATATGGGATCCATTTGCTTAAACTATTTCAAAAAAATAAATCTATAATTCTTTTAAAGAAATTATGTTTTGTTTTGACGAAAATGTTCAAAAAAATTAAATGTTAGTTTTAAAAACTATGCAAATGTTATTTATAATTGAAAATAAACTTTACCAGTGTCTTTAGTCGTTGTACCAAAATAATAAACCAAGGAAAATTCTAAAATAAGCTCGTGTTTAAATTCTGGATTAATTAACGGATTTCCGTCACACTTCCTTGTCGGAGCTTTTCGAAAGTTAATAATATATACTAGTGACACTATCTTTAAAGTTAAGAAAAATTAAGTTAAATATTAAATGTAGCATCTAAGAAAGCAATTTCTTAATGTAAATCAAATAAATCGTTCATTTAACATTAGAAGGTTTAATCAACGGTCAACATCAAAATTGGTATAAATTTTGGAAGTGTTTTTTTATAATAGAGGGAGAAACATATAGAGTATTTGAAAAAAATATATATATAAGTTATTACCAAATATGAAATCCGTTGCAAATATCTTTACGAACAATAAATTATTATCAAGTAGGTGGAAGCTTATTAATATTAGAAAATGGTTGATATTATTATAGATAAACAATAACTTTCTAACGGATTTGGGCCCACGATTAGTTGGGCCAGGCTGAATTGCTGGTCCATTTAGTTGTGACTTAGTTAGGTAGGTTGTCAAAAATTATTTGAACTTCACAAATAAATAAACATATATGCTTGGTACTAATCAATTATTGTTCTCATTTTCTTAGTCAGAACACTCGTATTAGTAATATAAAATACTAATAGAAAAAGGACACAACGTACTAAAAGTTTATAAATTTTAACAATTAATTAAAAGTTAAATATTTAATTTAATCATTCACCGAACTCTTTATTTTTGGGCAATCATTCATCAATCTTAAATATCTTAAAAGTTAAATATAAGATACAAATCAAACAATATATATCAATATTAACCAAAAATAAGATAATTAATAAAATACTATTAATTTATTTAAAAATATTATTTTTTTAACTTTATAAACAGGGTGAAGTCGGATCAAGATGGCGACTTCAAAAGGTAAAATCATCTTAGCTTGCATTAGTTTTGCTGATTTAAGATGAAGTTATAACGGCTTCACTTTTTTTTTTTCAAATTAAAACTTTTGTTATATGGCGGCTTTACTTTAAAACCTTTCTTTTTTCTATTATAAATGAGGTTATATGAGATTTAATGATTTTTGTTTCCCATTTTAACTTAAGTTGTCGTAACTATGAAGACTTTTGTTTAATTTGTTTTTATTCTAATTAGTTTTTAATTTTTATTTAAAGTAAAGTAAATTTTATTTATAATGAAATTTATTTTTTCTTTTTTTTATTTAATTAATATGATGTTTAAAATTAATTTAATTAATTGAATACAAAACATACAAAAAAAAGTTAGTGACATTATTAAGAACTTAAGAAAATTTAAAAATAATTAAAATAAAATTATTGAAATGAAAATACATATAAATGTTTATCTGTGTGAATTAATGTCACAAGCTAGCCTTCTTCGTTGTCTTCTAGGTCATTAATTTCTTCTATGTTCGGTAAATGGTTGCAATAACAGTACAACTAGCATAGTAAATTATTATTTAATATTATCACCAATTTGACCGTTGTCATCTTCACCATCCTCACTTTCATTATCATATCGCTTTGAAGACATTGTAGGTCGACAATAATCTATAGGTAGAGTTGGATTGTAAATGCGTGGTTGTAGATGTTATATTGTGACATGGACTTGGAAAGAAGTTAGATTGAGATGGAAAGATATTGTATGTAGAGGAACATTATTTACATATGAAGATGGAGCAGCTATGTTGTGAATATTGCCCATGTATCTAGACACTTGAGGAGACCGAAACATGCCAAATCAAGCACCATACTACACTTGAAACGGTTGATAATACCGAAAGAAGATCCAATATGGTTATATTGTGAAGGAGGTTGTGAATATTGAGGCTTTTTTTTTTGTTTCATAGTGATGGAATGTAATTGTTAATTTAATTTGAAAGTCATATATTAACATTTAAAATATATTAGAAAATGAACTTACATTGTCGTCTGAAAATGATGTTTGTTACGATGTTATGTAACGTATAGTATGTTGCATGTACATTGCATATATTGAATATCATCACGCAAACGGTCATTCTTGTGGAATTTCTCTTCTTCAATTAGATAGTTGTATCGATCATTCCATATTTCTATCCATTGTTGTTGATATTATTATGGCCAATTTCTTTCTATTCTTTCTCTTATATCTATAGTTGTATCGATCATTTCATATTTCCGCTCTTTTATTCTTTAAACATAACAACACTTCACACGTAACATCTTGTTTTGACCTTTTGTTGAGATTATTAGAATTGTATGGAAGGTTCTTGATGTGGTTACCCTTCAACTTGAAGCATTTCATGGTTGAATGATACTTTGCCTCTTAGAAACTTAGGTAAAAATCATTATTTTGTAATGGAAAATGTTATTTGGACAACAAAAGTTTGACACAATTTTGACAACGGCGACGTGGCAGCTGTGCATTGGCTCAGTGAACCGGGGTGAGGGGTATTTTGGGTTTTTTCTGGTTTGTTTTCAATTCACTGAGCCAATGCACAGCTGCCACGTCGCCGTTGTCAAAATTGTGTCAAACTTTTGTTGTCCAAATAACATTTTCCATTACAAAATAATGATTTTTACCTAAGTTTCTAAGAGGCAAAGTATCATTCAACCATGAAATGCTTCAAGTTGAAGGGTAACCACATCAAGAACCTTCCATACAATTCTAATAATCTCAACAAAAGGTCAAAACAAGATGTTACGTGTGAAGTGTTGTTATGTTTAAAGAATAAAAGAGCGGAAATATGAAATGATCGATACAACTATAGATATAAGAGAAAGAATAGAAAGAAATTGGCCATAATAATATCAACAACAATGGATAGAAATATGGAATGATCGATACAACTATCTAATTGAAGAAGAGAAATTCCACAAGAATGACCGTTTGCGTGATGATATTCAATATATGCAATGTACATGCAACATACTATACGTTACATAACATCGTAACAAACATCATTTTCAGACGACAATGTAAGTTCATTTTCTAATATATTTTAAATGTTAATATATGACTTTCAAATTAAATTAACAATTACATTCCATCACTATGAAACAAAAAAAAAAGCCTCAATATTCACAACCTCCTTCACAATATAACCATATTGGATCTTCTTTCGGTATTATCAACCGTTTCAAGTGTAGTATGGTGCTTGATTTGGCATGTTTCGGTCTCCTCAAGTGTCTAGATACATGGGCAATATTCACAACATAGCTGCTCCATCTTCATATGTAAATAATGTTCCTCTACATACAATATCTTTCCATCTCAATCTAACTTCTTTCCAAGTCCATGTCACAATATAACATCTACAACCACGCATTTACAATCCAACTCTACCTATAGATTATTGTCGACCTACAATGTCTTCAAAGCGATATGATAATGAAAGTGAGGATGGTGAAGATGACAACGGTCAAATTGGTGATAATATTAAATAATAATTTACTATGCTAGTTGTACTGTTATTGCAACCATTTACCGAACATAGAAGAAATTAATGACCTAGAAGACAACGAAGAAGGCTAGCTTGTGACATTAATTCACACAGATAAACATTTATATGTATTTTCATTTCAATAATTTTATTTTAATTATTTTTAAATTTTCTTAAGTTCTTAATAATGTCACTAACTTTTTTTTGTATGTTTTGTATTCAATTAATTAAATTAATTTTAAACATCATATTAATTAAATAAAAAAAAGAAAAAATAAATTTCATTATAAATAAAATTTACTTTACTTTAAATAAAAATTAAAAACTAATTAGAATAAAAACAAATTAAACAAAAGTCTTCATAGTTACGACAACTTAAGTTAAAATGGGAAACAAAAATCATTAAATCTCATATAACCTCATTTATAATAGAAAAAAGAAAGGTTTTAAAGTAAAGCCGCCATATAACAAAAGTTTTAATTTGAAAAAAAAAAAGTGAAGCCGTTATAACTTCATCTTAAATCAGCAAAACTAATGCAAGCTAAGATGATTTTACCTTTTGAAGTCGCCATCTTGATCCGACTTCACCCTGTTTATAAAGTTAAAAAAATAATATTTTTAAATAAATTAATAGTATTTTATTAATTATCTTATTTTTGGTTAATATTGATATATATTGTTTGATTTGTATCTTATATTTAACTTTTAAGATATTTAAGATTGATGAATGATTGCCCAAAAATAAAGAGTTCGGTGAATGATTAAATTAAATATTTAACTTTTAATTAATTGTTAAAATTTATAAACTTTTAGTACGTTGTGTCCTTTTTCTATTAGTATTTTATATTACTAATACGAGTGTTCTGACTAAGAAAATGAGAACAATAATTGATTAGTACCAAGCATATATGTTTATTTATTTGTGAAGTTCAAATAATTTTTGACAACCTACCTAACTAAGTCACAACTAAATGGACCAGCAATTCAGCCTGGCCCAACTAATCGTGGGCCCAAATCCGTTAGAAAGTTATTGTTTATCTATAATAATATCAACCATTTTCTAATATTAATAAGCTTCCACCTACTTGATAATAATTTATTGTTCGTAAAGATATTTGCAACGGATTTCATATTTGGTAATAACTTATATATATATTTTTTTCAAATACTCTATATGTTTCTCCCTCTA